GTTCTTGTTGATTCCCGTCGAGTCCCCATGAAATATTGCATCAGTGTAGTTAGTCACCTGCTTTCTGTCAAAGAGTCTGTCCTGTGACTCTTACTGTCTAATTTAGGGGAATGTTTTGACAGTCATTTTTCATGGCAGAGTAGTACTCTGTGTAAATGTCACATTTTCTTCATTCATCTTCTGGTGGACATGTAGACTTTATCCCAAGATTTAACTCTTATGGGTTGTGCTGCTATAAACATGGATATGCATGGATCACCGTAATATGATGTCTTTAACTCTTTGGGGAAGATACCTAGAAGAAGAAGAATCGCTAGAGCAAAAAGAATTTCTATTTTCATTTATTTGGGGAATGCTCACTCTAATTTTTTTTTTTTTTATGTGCTTGTAGCAGTTCACAGTCCTCCCAACAGTAAAGAGGGTTCCTTTTTTTCCTAACCCCTCCCCAGGCATTTGTTTATTTGATTTCTTGATGATTGTCATTTTTTCTGGAGTAAATTGGGATGGCAGTGATTTCAGTTTGCTTTGCTTTATTTTTTTTTTTATCTGCATTTCTCTGATGCCCAGATCTTGAGCAGTCTTTATCCTGCAGGTATAAGGACGTCTCCCAACATTCATGTGCGGAAGCATGAATACCTCTGTTTCCACAAACACTGGCTACTCTCATTTTTCTTCTTTGCCCAAAAAAGTAAAACTTAAGAATGTAAATCTGTAGAGTTCCTGGTGTTTACAAACCTCGTCTCAATAGAAATTATAATTATAGCATTGGAACATTTAAGATGAAAGATGCCTTTGCCAGAAAAACTCAAGTTTTTTGTCACCCGCATCCTTGATTTCTGTTAATATGTCTTACTGGAAAACTTACTTGTCACGATTAGGTGTCTGTGGCAAACAACTTATTCTTTCCTTTAATCCTGGCTCCTCCCCAAGATGCTAATAAGCTTTCTCACATCTTAGGTCTGATGTACACAAAGCACCATGGTCTGCAGAAGCTTAATCACTGCAAGTAAAATAAACTTGGTATCTTTCCTTCCATGCCTGAGACAGGACCTCTGCCTGGTTGATAGTTTAAATTCAAAACAGAAAGGAAAAAGAGAAAAGCTTTCTTGTAGTTCGATGGAACTGCGTTTGCCTGGCATTCACACAGACTTGGGTTCGATCCCAGTTTTAGCTAAGAAAGCAAAGCAGTTAAAGGAAAAATCTTTAATACTTCAGTGAATGCAGATTGTGTGGCAGAAACTATGGGGTCTTGTAACAACACATCCTTGGTTTCCTCCAAACTCAGAGATGCAAAGAGTGAATTGCTTAGCTGACCTGTGGGTGACATCTTTGGAAGGAATTAGCATCACAACTAGCATGATCAAACGTGTTCATACTTGGTGTGAAGAGAGTTTCCGTCCCCAGCAAAGAAAGATTCACGTTCTTAGCAAATTAGCAGAAGGTTCAGTGACTAATGCAATTGGTGACACAGAATATTTTTGGCAAGAAACTGTAATTAGTCCCTGCTAATGGGACAGCCTTCGGGGTGAGTGAGTTCTGTCTGTTCCTGGATATCACAACATGCACTTCCTGAATGCATTCACCACCAGAAAGGGAGAAGGCTGAGCTCACGGCATTCATCTACAATCCACTGTTTTGTCCCTACATCATAGAAAACAAAAGTGGGGATTTCAGCACCGAGTTTGGAGTTTTTAATTGCATTTTGTGAAAAAACAAGCCATCGTGTGGCTTAATTCTGAGACAATCCATTCATTTGAGATACGTCTTTGACTCAGTAGAGATCAAGAAACACTTGTGTTGTACTCAGGGATCACAAGCGGAACAGTTACACACAGGACACATCATTGATAGCATTATTTTATGATGGTCACCCAAGGAATCAAATACAGAGAAAGTGCAGGAAGTCTGTCCACACGCAGAAAAAACGAGGAAATTCAGCCAAGGGCCTGGATCCCACAGCAATGTCCTGCATGATTTCAGGAAAAAACCCAGAGCCCACGACAATGACCCACGCAAGACTATCCCACAGATCTGCACTGGGAAGGCCCAAAGGTCAGAAGTGGAAGCTAGGAAGTCTGTGCCAGCGGGGTGAAGGAGCTGTGCTGGTAGGTTGAAGGTTCTACACTGTAACCAAGAAGTCACATGCAAAACAAGGACCTGGGCTGTCCTGCAAACTACCACAGCCATCCTCAGGAACAGCGAGGTCCCAAGCTCCTCCGATGATAATGACCGAATTCATATCAGGGGAACCAGCATGATGAGCTCCTCTAGAAGAACCAATGGCTGTGAACAACCACACTCAGAAGAACCCACAATGCTACTCTTCCTCTGCAGATCTCTGCTTTTGCAGGCAACAGTCCTCAGGTGGGCCAGCCATGCTCAGCACCACGCTGATTCAGGCTGAGGGATCTGCACTGGAACCAAGATTACAGTAAAGACCAGGGCTCCCTTGAAACGCACCACAGCCATCCTCAGTGACAGTGAGGTCCTGAGCTCCTCCGGAGATGAGAACAGCTGAGTTCATATCAGCAAGCCAGCGTGACAAGCTTCTTCTGGAGATTGAACAGCTCACATTTGCCCCTCTGGAGCCAGGAAGTGATGCTCAAAGAAAGGACCAGAGCTCCCCCAAAGGGAAACACAGCCATTCTCAGCAACCAGGTCCTGAGCTCCTCCAATGATAATGGCCAAATCCATATGGCGGAAGCCAGCATGACAAGCATCTCCAGGAGAACCAATGGCTGCAAACAACCACACTTAGGAGAACCCACAATGCTACTCTCCCTTTCTAGGGGTCCCTTTATGCTGCCAACTTCCCCCAGATGGGGGCATCTTGCTGATTCGGTTCAGCTGGTGCTAAGTTGACCACTGGTTACCAATCCAGTATAGCATGCACATTGACTTTCTTGGTCCTTGATTGATTTGCTTATAGATTTTTGAAGCTGGGGCTCTATAACTTCCTGAAATGCCTCCAGTTTGGGTGGCAAAATATGGTTCCAAAGCTGTCTTTTTGATGTGTGCTATATTGGAACTCAGAATGGGTTTATCTCCTTATAGATTTGATTTGTAGATGATTAGGACATAAAGTGGGTTTTTTGTTTGCTTGTTTTTGAGGTACTAAGAATTGAATCCCCAGGGGTCAGGGATTTAGCTCAGTGGCATAAGCGCCTGCCTGGCAAGTGCAAGGTCTTGAGTTCGATCCCCAGTATCCACCCCCCAAAAATGATTGAAGTCTTGACACTAAACTACGTTGTAGCCTTTTTTGGACTATTTTTTTTTTTTTATTTGAAGGCGGGATCTTCCTTTATTGCTAAGCTGCCCAGGTTGGGCATGAACTTGGAATACTCCTGACTCAGCCTCCCAGAGTACTAGAAATACATATGTGCGCCCTCATGTTCAGCAACTTAGGAAGCACTCATTGGGGGGGAAACATCAGATTGGAGAAAATGTAATCATATAGAAAAGAAAAAATATATATAGTTGTCTGTTTTGAGGAGAGTCAATTAGCCATGTGAAAATGTTAAATTGCTTACAGACTTTTATTTCCTCTTTATTTTCTTTCTCTTTCTTTCTTTCTTTCTTTCTTTCTTTCTTTCTTTCCTTTTTATTTTCTTCCTTTTTTCTGTCCTTTCCTCCTCTCCCTTTCCTCTCCCCTCTTCTCCTCTGCCTTGCCCCCTCCCTCCAGTCCATCCTCCCTCCTTTCTGTCCTTTCTGTCATGCTCCACCAATATAAATTTGCACCTAACGTTAAAGCTGGTTCACGCCAACAACCTGCCCTGCCGAATGCTTTGGAAAACACGCACAATTTGGGACCTGACAAGAAGACCATATTCTCCCTACAGAACAACTTGCGGACATGCCAGGCAAATTGTCTTTCCAGGTCAAAGTGTTTTTGCAACACAGAAACAACAGGGAACTAGAGAAAATAAACAATCTCCTTTCCCACAACCAATGCAAAAATGACCTTGTGTGCAAATTCTAAGGGCGAGTTCCTGTATGTGCAACTTGGGTGAAATCCAGATGGTCAGCTGGGTGGACACTCCATGCTTACCCTGTTTGTGGTGCTTGGTAGAAACCTAAGCTGCTACGTTGGCTTCTAAGTGAAAGAATAGGGTTTGAATTTTGGTATGAATCACTAATTTTGGTGTGAATCACTAATTTTTTTCTATTTAAAAATAGAAGACCAGGGCACTTCTTGTATGTTCCAATCCTTGGGTTTGATCCCAGCTCTGGAAAAAGGAGATAAATGGGTTAGGGGAGAGACATGTGTAAATTTAACCAGGAGTGGGGTTTCACGATTTCCTGTAATGTACTTTGAAGAATAAAAGAAGTTATTTTCAAATATCACCAACTCAACAGAAAAGGGTTGACCTACATATTTGGATACACATACTTTTTACACACACACAAATACACTCTTTTCTTCCCTGAGTTTTTTCTTGTACAAGCCAGCTCCATTTTTTTTTCTCCTCAAATGAAACAAAACTATGCCCAAGAATGATCACTGGAATCTTTTCTTTCTAATTTGAGACATTGGGAATTGATCTCACAGCCTTTGTGCACGCCAGGCAATTTGTATACCATTTTCTAGTATTACATTATAAATATTTCAGGTCATTTTCATGTTCTGTATTAGTCACTTGCAATATATATGGTGGAGACATTTTGTTACAATGCCAACAAAAGTATTTCCCCAGCATTCATATATAATATGATTCTCCTGCTACCAAGAATTTCTCTGCAGTGTGCTTTCATATTTATGGGGCAGGTGAGGTGAACAGAGAATGAATGAAGAGGTAAGATCTGAGATGTGTTTGTGGAGAGCAGAGACGTTTACATGCATCTCGTAGCTCCCAGTAGCTCACTCTGGGTTTGGGTTTTGTGTGTCTTTATTTGCAGGGCTGGGCTGGGTCCAGGTGGTGCTCGATCATGCTAGGTCAGTGCGCTACAACTGTACTATACCCTCAGCCCTGTGTTTTTTATTTTGTGATTTCTTTTTGCAGGTTTTTTAAGTACCGGGGACCAGGCAGCCAAAGGTAACTATGGCCTCCTGGATCAGATACAAGCCTTGCGATGGATCGAGGAGAATGTGGCAGCCTTCGGCGGTGACCCCAAAAGAGTGACCATCTTCGGGTCTGGGGCTGGAGCCTCCTGTGTCAGCCTGCTAACCTTATCACACTACTCAGAAGGTAACCGAGGTGCCCCGGGGTGAGGAGGAAGTGGGGGGCGTCTCACTCAGTAATTAGCCATGCACTGAGTCTGTACTAGGCCAATCCTTGTGGGGCTCGGTGGGGTTGGCCATGGTCTCTCTGGAAACTTCAACAGCTTGTCCAGGAAATTGCATTCTACTGTGTTTTCTTCTTCTACTAAGTCACTTCCCACCCTCACGCCATGCTACTGGGGCCTCCTGCTTGGTAGTTAAGCCCTCAAGCACTGAAGTACATCCCTAGCTTTTTCATATTATCAGAAAAGAAATCTCCAAGTTGCCCGGCTGAGCTCAAACTTGAGATCCTCCTGCCTCAGCTTCCCAAAGCACTGGGATCGCAGGTATAAGCCACCACCCTGGGTTTAACATACTTTGAACAACGTTCTTTTTTAATTTTTTTCCTAATTAAAAAGTAACACAACGAAATGTGAGTTACAGTGATAGAAACAGAATAACTTAGAAGTTAGCTTCTTGTTGCCGTTCTGATATCTTTGGACCCATCTTGAACTTTGGTGATGTCTAGGATAAAGTTGAAGGGCATGAGGTGATGGATCTCTTGGAATTCACCGCAGGGTGGTTCTCGATCATTCTAGATAGCGAGGATACCAAGAGTCTCAGGTCCTCAATTCCCTTCCACAATGTGGAGCACAATACGCTCCCTTCCACAGAACATACACACAACCTCTCAAGACTGAAATCATCTCCGATTGACTTACAGTATCTATCCCAGTACCCGTCCATGGGAACAGTCGCATGGTTTATGGGAACAGAGACAGGAAAAACTCTCTACCCACTCAGTATGGACCCAAGCCTACACAGCTGTTTTCCATCTGCCTGTGAATAAATCAGCACACAGACATCCCACAGAGAGAGCAAAATACAGATGGGAAAAAGAAAGTAAAACCCAGTGTTGATGTTGGAACCCGGTTTACAGATTATGCAGACAGCTTGAGTCCTGTGCTTTAAAGATTCGTTTCTCTTATTTTAGGCCAGTTCTTAACATCTCCTGGAAAAATATGCTGGATTTTCTTAATTTCTTTGCTTATTAGCCCATCTCTGTAGGACATACAACTCATTTTTTTTATATTGTTACATCTCTTTTCCTTGCCGTGTTCCCTTTCCGCCTCCAGCTCTTGGGCTCCTTTCAACTTGCAAAAGATCTGTCTCCCCATTTTCCAATTTGTACCTTGTATTTTGCTCTTCATTTAATGTATACTTTGACTCTCTCATGGAAGTGAAACCATTTGATGCTTAAGCTTGGGTGTCTCATTGGTTTTGCTTAACATTATGGTCACAAGGTGCATCCATCTGTCTAACCCTCACCCTCACCCTAATGCATTTTATCTTTCTTCATGACTGTGTAGTACTCCATTGTGCGTAAATATCACCCGTGTTTCTTAAAGAATATGTCTGCTGCATACACGTAGATTTTTCTAGATATTGAACAGTAGATTCTTTCTGTATTTCTCTCTTTTTCCTCTCTCTTCCTCTAGGTTATCAGGAGGCTAAGGGACTTGCTAAATAAAATTAGTATCAGGAGCTAGGAATTATTTGGTACACTCTCCAGTGAGCAGTAGACTGAAAATTTAACCAGACTATTTTGAGGGATAAAGGAAGTAAAAACAATGAAATTTTTGACATATTTTATATCAGTTTCCTCAGAGAATCCATATGGATTCTGTATCACAAACATACAGCAATAAAGAACAAAAAGCAACTATACAAAACTCACCGGAATAGATCAGAAACAGCATACCAGTGTAAAAATTTAAAAAAAAAAAAAAAAACTAAAACAGAAAGCCTAAAGATCCCATGGCATGGAATAAGCAGGAGAAAAAGCTAACAGTATCAGATGAAAGCCCTGACTTCTAGGATGTAGGCAAACCCACAGCGCACACGCTGCCTTGAATTATTTGTGTCTGTTCCAATAAGTGCTCAGCGCCCTGGTGCAGTTGCCAGCCAGTGATGCATTTTGCTCTGTGATATCCTTGGTTTGGCAATCACACCACACGAATCGTAACTGCTTGCATCAAAATTATTCGAGACGTGAATCTTTCAGGGAACCGTTTGTGTTACCACATCAAACCTTCTCATCAGCACGCATTCTGGAGATTGAACGGGGGGCTTTGCATTACCCCACAGCTACATTTGCAGCCCCATTTGATTTTCTTTCTGAAGGGGGTTCTCACCAGCTTCCTCCTGCTGGGCTTGGGATCCTTCCGTCTGAGCCCAAGGGTAGCTGGGATGTGTGCAGGCTTCCCTTTCCTCTCTGTGGCACTGTGGACTAGTTTCTGGGGTTTAGTGTCCCTAGATTTATTTATTTTTTAACAAAATGCCATCATCAATGATTTTTTTTAATTTCTCTGAAATCTGAATTTTAATTAAATAATTTTTTTCACAGTTAATGAGTAGTAGACTGAAAATTTAATCAGGATATTTTGAGGGGAAAAAAAGGCATGAAATTCTGACATATTTTGTATCAATTTGCCACAGAGAATCCAGATGCATTCTGGATCACAAACATATAGTGATAAAGGAGAAAAACAGCCACACCAAACTTACTAGACCAGATCAGAAAAAGGCACTGATGTAAAAATAAAATTTAAAAAACACAGAAAATGCAAGATTGAATGGATGAATCATTTCTCATCTAGACCTCAATGGCATTTTTTCATTTAAAAAAGCTACACTCATCAAAGGAAAGAAATGATTCATAATTTTTTTAAAAAATGGGAAATTAACACTAGTTAATACCTTGCATATTATTATCTTAAAATTGTTGTTCAGGTTAGAAGATTTAGGCATGAGAAAAATGATCAGACAATCAGAGCACAAACTGTTCTTTTGGATGAACTAACAGAGATTCGTATAGCATAGTTATTGTATCTTGTATATATATGCACACGCACATGTGTTATCTCTGTTTTTCTTTTTTTTTTTTTTTTGAGCCCTTTCTTTCCCTGTCATTTTCACAAGATCTATTGCACATTTTGGATCTTATTATTCTATCAGATTTTTTCCTACACTAGGGAAACAATATGACCTTTACACACGGGTGTTTGATCTATTTCCCTTATCGGGGTGATATCAAGTTGCCGCCATTTACCTTTAAAGTTCTCAGGTCCTCACTCTGGGCTGCAAAACCTGAGCTGTCTTCCTGGGCGGCATCCCCAACAAGCTTCGGCAAGTAACCAAACACAAGGAGGCCAGATGAATGGCAGGGCAGGCAATCACTATTGAAATCCATAGGTCGGAGGTGATTATGGTCTGGAAAAGCCTTTGCATCTCACGTTTCTCCAAATCTCCTGTTGCAAGCCTTGTACAATAGGATCAAAATGACCCTAATGATAATAGGGATGCACCCTGGCCTGCTCAAATTCAGAATCCTGTTGCTAGGTATCTAGTCTAGTAAAACCAAAATAAAGAGGGATAAAATACGGTTTATGAAGACGTTCATCCAAATATTGTTACTCCAGCAAAAGAATAAGAGGAAAAGCTTAAAGACTGGCCAGGAAAGAGTTATAAGGAATAGTGAGCTGTTACTCAAGGATATAATAAGTTAGAAATTACTCCTAGAAGACGCACGAGTTTGAAACACACTTTCAGAAGTAGGGCAGACATACATTGAGCAAAGGTACACACCACAGGATCATCAGAAGCTGAAAACGTGGTCAGGAAAACTTACACTAATTACTGGCATACTCATTAGGCTAACGTAGTTTCCATTTAAAGATACGAATTATGAGGGAATTGTTTTTCTTCATCCTGTTTTTAGAATAAATCGATCATTATGGTATTTCTGTAGCAGCAAAGTAGGTGCTTTACTAACTATCTATCTCTTTATCTCTCTGTTATGTATCATCTATATCTATGTATTTATCATTTCATCCATGTATCATGTATCTATTATCTACCATCGATTATCTGTCATCTATCTATCTATCTATCTATCTATCCATGTATCATCAATTATCTGTCTATCTATCTATTTATCTATCTATCTATTTATCTGTCATCTATCTATTTATCTATCTGTTATCTATCTATCTATCTATCTATGTGCTCTCTATTGCTGGCCAATTTCTCCGAGTAGTTTCGAGCAGAAAAGAAATCCCTTCATCTGTCTCCCTCTATCTCTCTAATTCAGGTTGTTTTACCTTATGATCACTTCATGTTAAATATTTTTCGGGTCAAACGCAGACACGTTTTGTTTTAGGTGTTGTAAAGTATCAATCTTCACAGTCAAACGCTGTAGATCACACACCTTTCTGATGGAAATGGTGCCAGCACGGACTTTAGTACCATACTGGGCAAAGCCAGGTGGCTTTAACATCTTAGTCTTATGAGACGCATCTGGGCACTGTTCCTGCATTTAAAATCACATCTTCCTGATTGCAATCACTTCTCTCCATACCTCACTGCCTGCAGGACCTTGCAGCTGACGGGGCAGAAACATGCAAACTCTTCAGGGCTAGATGCCTGTGGGGAATCAGGCAAAGACAGGAAGCGAGCTTGTCTTATTGCTCCTGGTTACAAAGCAGAGGTTTTTATCTTCCAGTGCGTGCCCACCATACCCCCAGTGTCTCCGCAGTTTTTAAAACATCACACAGTTTTACTTCTCAATTTCGCATTATTCTTCAAGTCTCTCACACAGTGTGAGCGCCAAGAAATGGGTCAGAATAAAATACACAGAGCTCCAAATTGAGACAAATGCAATTTTGAAATAAATGACTATGTGTGTGTGTGTATGCATGTATACTTTTGCGTGCCCAATGTAAGTTTTTTTTTTTTTTTAACCAGAATTACTTATTTTGAATCAGTCACAGAATGACTATGAAAGTAATGACCTTATTTTGATTATAAAAGGAACCCGCCTGAATGCACATTTTAAAACTGATGCTGTCAGAGTTTGTTTCCCACCATCACATTGGTTTTTGCCTGATTTTGCTGTGAAACCCCCAAAAGTCTTGGACTTCATAATTACTCAGTGCTTGCAATTAGCGAATGGGGTGTTCCACCGATTCTGAGAATTATTTTCGCCTGCTGTCTGGAGGCAAAATCCACACCAAATTGTGCAAAGATGAAGTCACCGCTCTTGTTTTGATTGCTGCTGAAACTCAATGGGTCTTTGTTTTAATGCTCTTGGGGGTGTATATTCATTCATGCGTACTATGTATCTGTGTGTGTGTGTGTGTGTGTGTGTGTGTGTGTGTGTGCGCGTGCACGTGCGTGCAGAATAACAGCCAATACAATGAACTTCCAGGGCGAGAATTTTTATGCATGGCACTGGGAGCCAAAGCCTGCACACAATTTGGACATAAAAGATGATTTGCATGTTTTAATTCTGTTGTTGCTTTTAGCTGCTGCTTAAAAAAAAAAATTAGATGACTTCTATTTTTAAACTCTGATGCATGCATATATTTTTATGCATGCAGCCATGTATATATGTATGTGTGTGTGTGCATGTGCACACGTGTGTGAGAGTGAGTGTGCAACAGAACATTCCCTAAAAGAAATGTCTAGGGTGAGAGGCAAGAGAAACACAAAGGGTCAAAGATGCCCAGCGAAGGCTGAATGCTCCTCCAGCAGAGAACCTGGACAATGACCGCCTTCTTTGCCCTGTGAGAGGCCCCTTCTCTGTCCCCGAGTGAGCTTGGCTTTTCATTTGCATGTCCACAATGTCGCACCTGCAGGGCTCTTCCAGAAAGCCATCATCCAGAGCGGCACTGCCCTGTCCAGCTGGGCCGTGAACTACCAGCCTGCCAAATACACTCGGATGTTGGCAGATAAAGTGGGCTGCAACATGCTGGACACCACGGACATGGTGGAATGCCTGAGGAATAAGAATCACAAAGAGCTCATTCAGCAGACTATTACCCCAGCCACCTACCACATCGCCTTCGGCCCCGTGATCGACGGGGATGTCATCCCGGATGACCCCCAGATCCTCATGGAGCAGGGAGAGTTTCTCAACTATGACATCATGCTGGGCGTGAACCAGGGAGAGGGCCTCAAGTTCGTGGATGGCATCGTGGACAACGAGGACGGTGTGACACCCAATGACTTTGACTTCTCCGTGTCCAACTTCGTGGACAACCTGTACGGCTACCCGGAGGGCAAGGACACCTTGAGAGAGACCATCAAGTTCATGTACACGGACTGGGCTGATAAGGAGAACCCAGAAACACGCAGGAAGACCCTGGTGGCCCTCTTCACCGACCATCAGTGGGTGGCCCCCGCGGTGGCCACCGCTGACCTCCACGCCCAGTATGGCTCACCCACCTATTTCTATGCTTTCTACCATCACTGTCAGAGCGAAATGAAGCCCACCTGGGCGGACTCAGCCCACGGGGACGAGGTCCCCTATGTTTTTGGGATCCCCATGATCGGCCCCACCGAGCTCTTCAGCTGTAACTTCTCCAAGAATGACGTGATGCTGAGTGCCGTGGTCATGACGTACTGGACCAATTTCGCCAAGACCGGGTGAGCTCTAGTTCCCATTTCTCTTCCGTCCTGCTCCTTACCATGCTCATCTCTTTATTGCAGGTTAGCGGGATCTTCTCCAGCTCACAGGCCAACATGCATGGAATATCATCACTCATTAATCTTTTTTTAATAACAACATCTATAGGAAACCACCCCCCTCCTTTTTTTTGCAGTATTAGAGATCAAACTCAGGACTTCAGACGTACTAACCCAGTGCTCTAAGCCCAGCTAGATCCTTAGCCTTTAACCCATATTTTGACTCTTAAATAGATTTTTTATCAAACAAGATTATTATTATTTTTTTTTTTTTTGAGGGCTAGTAGCTGGTTGAAAACTCTGCAGGTACTTCTGGGTAGTGCAAGATTGACATATATATTTGACAGCTCTATTGAGCTGATTGTGGGGTTTTGCAGCCTAGTTATGACCCTGTTTCTTTGCCTAACTAACAGGGTTGTGAGGCACAAGGACCTTGAGAAACTGGACTCGTTACACAGCCATAGCAATAAGGAAATCTCATTGGACTTATACAGAAATACTAATATGTGCATTTGTCCAGGCATTCACAAATAGATCGCAAAGTGTCTTTATGTATACCTTACACATATGTACATTCATGCGTATATATGCAGATACAAGCACATATATATTTGCAGAGAACATTTGCACCTGCCTTGTGTATCTATAACCACCTCTAGAGGAGCTACAAGCTTAATCAAAGGTCAGTGTCTAAGCAATCAGTTCACCCTTATCCTGTGCCCCTAGGGGGCGGTAACAGGGAAATCTGTATGTGTCCAGTAGTGACAAATCTTTTTTTCCACTTCTTTTTTTTTAAAATTCTTGTATGAACTTGAAGGTGTAGAAATTTCAGACCCAAAGAGTTGATTGTATGTTTAGGGAGAGACAGAGAGACTGACAGATAGCTTGATCTATTGAAATAGAAATAGATGGGGCCAGGGATTTAGCTCAGTGGTGTAAGCATTTGCCTGGCAAGTGTAAGGTCGTGAGTTCAATCCCTGGTACCCAAAAAAAAAAAAAAAAAAAAAAAAAAAGAAAGAAAAAATAGAAATAGATTTTCTTTATATGACATATGTCTTTTACTTATATATCTATATGCAAATCTGTCCATATATTTGCAGTCATATGTGTATAATTTAATGGTCTGTGTTTACAAAATATAAACATAGCAAAAGCAACACATGCAACCTGACCTAACAGTGTTCTACTAAGCAGTACGATATGCAATGGAGGATTGAGCCACTAATATGTTGCAAGATTAGCAACACAAGCTCATCTGTTTTTGTTCTCTTCTGTCATAGCATAATTATAAAAACTAATGAGGTGCCCATCTCCTCTGCCTGCCTGCCCTGAACTAATTAAGCTTCACCGCCATGTCCTGACTTAACAGTGAGGTCCTCGAGGCATAGCAAGTCAGTAAACCCCCCAGCAGACCTCAGACTCAGACTGTGCGAAGCACTTTGTTTTGGGGAGCACTGCCAGGAGGTTTTGGGGGGATGCCAAAGGCCCAATGCTTCCATTTATGAGCAAAGTGTCGATTTGTACAATGATTCCAATTTTTGTCTTTTTTGTCCTTTTAATTTTTTTCTTGACAAGGAGTAGATTAGTACTGTGGTCTTGACTAAAAGCATATATACAGATAGGGAGAAAATACATGAGAATACCAACCTTCTGGGGTCAAGCTTCCTACATGTGGTCTAGGGGACAGGATCGGGGTACAGGTAAACAGGATGGAGGTCTGGGCTATGACACAAAGTTTATTTCCTCACCCACAAAAGGAGGAGACATCAAGGAAGTCATCCAGCTTTTTTTCTTCTGTCTCTAATTCTAGTTTTCATTATGGGGTTCAGGCTGGCCTCAAACTCACAGCAATCCTCCTGCCTCAGCCTCCAAAGTGCTGAGTTTACAGGCGGGTGTGTTGGGCCATCACGTTTTTAAAGTAATGCTTTTTATTTAGCTTCTTAGGGCTGCCTGAGAGATCAAAAAATGCATGCTTTGGGGGCTGGGGATTTAGATCAGCAGCATAAGCAGGCAGTTGTGAGTTCAATCCCCTGTACCGATGAAAAGGAAAAAGACCAAAAAAAAAAAAAAAAAATGCATGCTTTCCTAATGACCCAGCCATTCCTCTTCCAGACATCTTCCCAAAACAATTAAAACATCTCACAGGGGTCACGCCAGACTAGCTAAACCTTGGGGGCAGCCCATGTGTCCATCAGCTGATGAATGCTTTTTAAAAATGTGTTACTTACACACCATGGAGCAACACTCTACAATAAAGAAGGACAAACCTGAGTCTTTTATAGGAAACTGGATGCACTTTGAGACCGTAATATTAAGTTAAGCCAATCAGGCACCCAGGTTTAAATAGCATGTGTTTCCTAGTCAACGTCTGAATGAACTAAAAAGCCAGATAAAAGACAGACCATCGGGAACTTGGACGGAGATCTTTGGCAGAAGGAAGTCAACAGCTAAATGCACAAATAGGGAGCAGATGCAAAGAGATTTAAAGATGTATTATGGGTAAGTACTAACTGACAGGGGAAATGCAATCAGCATAACAGCACGCATACAGAGCCTGCGACAATGAGCCTTCTTTGCTACTTAAATCTACCATGAGCCCAAATCCACCTAAGAGCTCCTTCTGAGTTGCCGCTGAGGAGTTCAGCCTGCCTTCGTTGCCATCTTGCTATTGAGCATTTTTCTTGCAACTGTTGTGGGTTTGCATGGTTGAAACAAGGTCTTGCTATATAGTTAAGGGTGACCCTGAACTCACTAGGTAGCCCAGCCTGGCTTTGAACTCATGGAGATCCTCCAGCCTCAGCCTCTTGAGGGCTGGAATTGCAGGCGTCCACCCACAGCTTAGCCTACCTTTCCTTAAAACACTTGCTTCTTTCTGTCTGCTGGGTTCAGAAGTGTTGAAAATGAGCTTTATATGATATAACAGCTAGACTCATGATTCACACTTTAAAAAAAGCACCCCCCAAAAAAAAGCCAATAAAATCTCATTAAGTCTCTCTGATCGCTCAGGTCTCAGAAGGAATAAACGAATGGGTGGATGGAGGGAGACAGGTTAAAGGAAGGGAATAGGGACCAGAGGGGTGGCCACAGGAGACAGAAGGGAAGAAATAAAGCGGGCTGTTTGGAAGGATTTGGGTGCCATGATAGCAACCTCTCTCCAAGCCATGAGAGCCATGGCTTCACTCTGCACACCAAAGACCTTAAGTCCTCCTGAAATTCACAAGTGGGACACTTGAGCTGTCCCAGACATCAGAAGAGCTCACATCTGGATTTATTTTTAACTTTGTTCCCCACAATACCATCTTGGTGCGTCAAGTGACTTTTGTGTCTGGATCGCTTTTAAGGCCGTGTCTACTTGTGAATGTGTGGGCATCCTAAGGTGGACTGGTATCCAACCACGGCGACATCTTTACAAACAAAACTGCAATACAGAAAAAGACCCGTGAGGACTGCAGGTTGCATTTTATTTGTTGTTATCCATCCACGTTTTTCGGTACCAAATGATTGCAATCTTCACGGGAAGCTGGCTCAAGTGTGGAACACAGCTTAATTCCCTCTATGTTCCCTTCTCTCTCTCTTCTCCATCCATCTTTGGTCCCTTACCTATGTGCAAAAGAGATGACTTCCTGTTTCTTAATATCTGTCTTTTATTTTGCTTTTTGAGCTACTTATCCTTTGGGTTCTTCATACAAGAGAAACCAAAGGCTATTTAAGCTGCGTATCTGATTGATTACACTTAGGGACTCGAGGTGCATATATTTTTCTATATATCCCCCAAAGTTATTTTAAACTAAATAGCCTTCTGGCGCCTCCTAGTGACTTGGAGGAGGTACTGAACACCTTAGATTGTGTGTGCACATGTGTAGATAGGATGCAGATAGATAGGATGGATGGATGGATGATGGATAGATAAATAGATAGGATGCATAGATAGGATGGATAGATGGATAGATAGGATGGAAGATAGATAGATTGGATGGATGGATGGATGGATGGATGGATAGGATGGATGATGGATAGATAAACAGGATGCATAGATAGATAGATCGATAGATAGATACATAGATACATAGATAGATAGATAGATAGATAGATAGATAGATAGGATGGATGGATAGGATGGATGATGATAGATAAATAGGATGCATAGATGGATAGATAGATATATAAATAGGATGCATAGATAGATAGATAGATAGATAGATAGATAGATAGATAGGATGGATGGATAGGATGGATGATGATAGATAAATAGGATGCATAGATGGATAGATAGATATATAAATAGGATGCATAGATAGATAGATAGATAGATAGATAGATAGATACATAGATACATAGATAGATACATAGATACATAGATAGATACATAGATAGGATGGATGGATAGGATGGATGATGATAGATAAATAGGATGCATAGATGGATAGATAGATATATAAATAGTATGGATGGATGGATGGATAGATAAATAGATAGATAGATAGATAGATAGATAGATAGATAGATAATTTCACCTGGCAGTTGATATAGATTATGAAGTGGTTAATTCCTATATTGATTTTTAAATGTTATGTTTTTATTGCACAAATTATCTTATAACAAGGTTCTCTGATTTTTTTTTTTTGCAGAAATCCTAGTATGTATCTGTAACTAAGGAACCACAGCTCTTAAAACTGCATTTGACTATGCCATCAAGATTACATTTTAAATAAAATAGAGCAGATGTTTCTGAAGGGCTTTACAATGCAGAGGGAGCCAGGTCTTGGACTTCTTTTCAGGAAGATGCGTTTGTTAAATGCTTTCCATTATGACCATCTTTCCTTTTGCTCAAGAGAATGAAAACACTTTGTAGGCTGAAATATAGTCCTGAAAATCAAAACAGCAGTAGTGCACTTATAGATCGCACTGGCTTTGTAGTGTTTGACAAAGAAAGTGACTGGCACTTGGGTAATCTCCCAGAGTTTATCTTGGTTTAAAAACTCCGGCTGTGCGTCTTGAAGAACTTTAATAATAGACAGATCACGTCAGCCCCGAGCTGACTTTATCTGGATGTCCCAAATCCAGCCCTCTGTTCTTTGAGAACAAAATAAATGTGTTCCTTGGCCTTTGAAACAGACACTGCATGCTTGCAAAAATAGCCTGAGAGCCAACACATCCAGAATATTTTCTATTTTTTTTTTTTCCTTAACCTGGATTCCCAGTGATTAATACAGGACCAGTGTCAAGTAGACCCAATTCAATAAGATCAGTGGAAAAAAAAAAATAACATGAATTCTTACCCATGTCTTTTAATGTTTGCTGTTAGTTCATGCTTGCAATATACAATAATTATATTCATCCTGGGAGCTTGGTAGATGGATATAACACATCTTAATTTCCTTTTCATCTATTTCCTCTTATCCACCTCGATTTCCCCCTACCCCTTGGTCCTTGTGCCATTCACCAAACATCCATCTCCATTTCTTTCCAATTTTTATCACTTTGCCCCCCCCATTCATTTTCAAACAATAAAAATAAATTAAAAACTATCCTAGGCATATTCCATTTACATGTAAAAAAGAAAATGAAGACTTATACTGGCAAGTATGGGCAAATGAAATATTAAATCTAATCAGTCTCTTTCAAAAAACATACATACAAAAACAGTAAATGAAAATCAGGTTCTTAACATTTGCGTTTTCAAATTAATTGTATTGGTATGTTTTGGATCTGCATAGTGAATACATTCATCATAGGAAGTTTGTGTCTGTGCATAATATATCTTGATTAGTTTTGAATATATTTATGTTTGTAACCAAAGAGGAAAACAAATGGTATATGACCCTATAAACTTCCATATGTGTGTGTGTGTGTGTGTGTGTGTGTGTGTGTGTGTGTGTGTGTTTTCATTCGGTTAGTAAAAGTAATATTACATCAACTAGTGTGTACTTAAAGTGTGCAAACTTTACTTATGCTTAGCAGACTTCACAGCATAGATATGTCTATTGTAGACCTATCCACGGTATGTAGCCAAATCAGTATACAGGATCCCCAAGTGTCCCTTGAATACATGTATGCAACATATAATGTGACATTGCATATATTGTGATAGAGACTACATAATATAGAGTGTACTTACATTCCACATAAAGTATGCACATTCTGTATAATATGCTACAGAAAATACAACACCCAGAATACTCGTGTTAATTATACATCATATGCAGTACACAGACAGTTGCCAACATGTGAATGCTTGCTTTGTGATGGTCTGATGTCCTGTTTTTTAAGTTCGTTGCTCTACACAACTAATATGTATGCCAAAGCGGACTTTTAATTTTGATCTCCTAGTCCTTGGCTACTAATATATAGTCAATATTCTTCCAAGATACTGGATATTCAATGTGGTATCCAGTTAAGATATTCTAAAATTAGGATGTGTTTATCAACTCATAACCCTACACAAATCAAGGAGAATCTAAACAGTATTCAGCATATAATTATCCTTGAATATCATATGTAATAGAGAATAGATTTGAACACACCATACAGGTGTGTAGAAAGCCATAGATTTACACTGGTTAACACTGCCACATTATTGTGATGGCTTCTTTCTTTAGAAATATTTTACCTGTTCTAAAGTATGCATCTGAAGACAAAAGATACCATTTCTTGACCTTTTCATGCAAGGCATATATTTTTGTTTTGTTTTTTTGACATTTTCCTGTATCTCCCATGCCCGAGATCCTTAACCACAAACCAGACCACTAAGGCAAAGCCAACCGAGACGGACAAACTTGTTCAGATGTTCACAGGTACAGCATACATGCTTGTAAAGCTGGGTGTGCTTTTCACACCTGTAATCGGAGTGCTCTTGGAGGCTGAAGGAGGAGAATTGCAAGATTGATTGATGATTGGTTGATTGATTGACTGATTGATTTTTTTCATTTCATGGGCAACCCAAATGGATTGATTGAATCTTTACAGCACATAATAATTGGTGAATCTTTCAGGGAGCAATTCTGGTCCCCAGCCTTTGACTATAGAAGGAAATAGGAACTTACCATCGTCCTGCAAAGAGGGGGTGACCTGAGGTAAGATGTTACAGCACAGAGAACCAAGCAGACTTGTTCAAGTCTGCATTTCAATGTCTTCACTAGGTGACCCGGGTGGTGGAGCATCTCAAAACCTTTCTGACAAACATGTGGAGCTCTGTGAACAGCTCACATCACAGTCACACTGAGGGAAGATAGGAGAGGATCTGTCTAAACAGAGCTGCAAGCAAACCTGATCAATTTTTCTTTTATGTTTTGTGGGTTATCTCTAAAATCTGCTGATGCACCCTTCGCCTGCATTCATTAGTGCAGATAAATCAGTGAGATGATTTTTGTGGCTACAGCTGCCAGGCACGTGGGCGTCCAAAGTAAAGCTGAGTTTGGGGTGTGATGGTTTCTTGGTAGTCTAAGTGTGATGACATCACCCCATCTACAAGAACCACTTCTTATTTTTCATGAAATATTGCTTGATCTTTTTCTCGGTGTTTAAAAGGCGTCTGAGCATGTGTTGATCACCCTTTGAGGGAGCAAATACCTGATATGTGCATTTGCAATTTGCAGTTATAAAGCTTATGCTTCTTCCCTTCCCTGCCTCTTTACCTGTCTCCCTTCCTAACTCCCATGGTTCAGTTCTGGTGTTTCAGCCTGGCTAAGAAGCACACTTCAAAATGATCTAAAATCATGCAAACGTTCTTAGGACCCTGTAGTTTTCCTTTAAAGGCTGAAGACACTTTAGCACGTTTAAAAAATAGCAAAATGCAATGTAAGTTCCTGTTTCGTATTACTTATAGTTTCTGTGACTATTTATTTATGCTTACCGCCATGCAATAATGACTCAAGTTCATTACTCTTTATGGCAGGGTAGTACTTCATGCTGTAGAAATACCACATTTTCTATATGCTTTCATCCGCTGCTGGACATCCAGGTGACTGCGTCCAATATTTTGCTATTGTGAGTTGTGTTGCTGTAACATGGCTATGAAAGGGTCACTGTGCCATGCTGTCCCTAACTCTTCGGGAAAGGTGCCCAGAAGGGGAAAATCTTGTTGAAATGGGATTTCTATATTTATTTTTAGGACTATCAGGGTTGGCATTGACAGAGCTTCTGATAGTTCACATCACCACCAAGAGGCTACAAGGCTTGCTTTTCCCCTCAAAGTCTCAATAGCTGCTGTTATTATGTGGATCTTTTTTCCTTTTTATTTTTAACAGACAGAGTCTCACAGTGGTGCTCACATTGGAATTGATCCTACTATGTACAGCAGGCTAACATTGAACTTATGAGGATAGCGCTGTCTCAGCCTCCCGAATGCTGCTGGGTTTGCGGGCGTGTACCACCTCACACCACTCCTCATTTAATGTCATGATGATGACCATTTCTTCCAGTATAAGATAGAACATCAGTGTTGTTGTGATTTGCCTTCCTCCAATGGACAGAGATGTTAAACATTTTTTTGATGGATCACTGGGTCTTCTCTTGGAGCAGAGGGTCGTCTCATGGACCAATGTGTCTAATGAGAGGACCACATCAGGAAAAGGCCAAATCCAAATGGTTGCAATGCTCTGGAAGAGAGCAGACCGTATCTGTATCTGCTCAAACCTCTTGTGCTTCTCCGTACAAATGCAACAAACGCAATGCAGATCCTCTTAGGATTCAGGGTCGTCCTTGCCCGATGGGGAAGCTGATCTTTCTTCCTTTATTTATTTTTCTTGTCTCCCACCCTAGGGATCCCAACCAGCCCGTCCCCCAAGACACCAAGTTCATCCACACCAAACCCAACCGCTTCGAAGAGGTCGCCTGGTCAAAGTACAACCCCAAAGACCAGTTGTATCTGCACATCGGCCTGAAGCCCAGGGTGCGGGATCATTACCGGGCCACCAAAGTGGCTTTCTGGTTGGAACTGGTCCCCCACCTACACAACCTGAACGAGATATTCCAGTACGTCTCGACCACCACCAAGGTCCCCCCGCCAGATATGACATCGTTCCCTTATGGGACCCGGAGGTCTCCGGCCAAGATCTGGCCCACGACCAAACGCCCGGCCATCACTCCGGCCAACAACCCGAAACACTCCAAGGATCTGCACAAGACGGGGCCCGAGGACACCACCGTGCTCATCGAAACCAAGAGGGATTACTCCACAGAGCTGAGCGTCACCATCGCGGTGGGGGCCTCTCTGCTGTTCCTCAACATCCTAGCTTTTGCGGCCCTATACTACAAGAAGGACAAGAGACGCCACGAGACCCACAGGAGACCCAGTCCCCAGAGGAACACCACCAACGACATCGCCCACATCCAGAACGAGGAGATCATGTCCCTGCAGATGAAGCAGCTGGAACACGACCACGAGTGTGAATCCCTGCAGGCCCACGACACCCTGAGGCTCACCTGTCCTCCAGATTACACGCTCACCCTGCGGCGGTCCCCAGACGACATCCCGCTCATGACACCAAACACCATCACCATGATCCCCAACACACTGACGGGCATGCAACCTTTGCACACCTTTAATACCTTCAGCGGGGGTCAAAACAGTAGCAATTTACCACACGGACACTCCACCACTAGAGTATAGCTTTGCGGTCCTCCTCCTCCTCCTCCTCCTCCTCTCCTTCGGCGCCTGTAGAAGACATCAAGAGACACAGATGGAGAAAACAAAAGATCCTCCAACATAGCAAAGCTTTTCATCTCACCGATTTAGGATGACAACTCCAGCCAACACATAATAAAAAAACCAACAAAAAAAAACCCAAGAAGTCATCTTGTTTGCTGAGACCCGCCCTCCCCCTTGACATTCTCCTGAGCTATTGGATCAACTTCTCACCCTACAAAATGTGAAAAGCCTCCATTTCTCTTAGATATACTGCTTTAAAAATCCTCACCATTCCCCAAAGACCGCCCCTGTCTTTTTCCCAAAACACCTGCATTCAGACTCTGAGGTTCCCAGCGTTCACGATTAGGAATTCACACTTCTGGAACCCAGCGAGGGACATCGAATTTGTTTTTTTTTTTTTTTTACTTAAAAAAAATTACAATTGAAACAAACAAAAAAGATAAGTTCTTCACGTGCCATACCATGGATGGCTCTACTTGAGAAAAAAGAGTATCTGAAGATTTTTTTTCTTTCTTTTCTGTTTCTGTTACCCGGCGTACATAAAGAGTTGTTATCCAGAGAGAAGGCAAAAAGTAAAATTTTATCATTAAAATAAAAGACTTGACTATGCAGAAAAAAAATAAAGGAGAAAAAAAAAAAAAAAAAAAACCTATAGCATTCTGTGCAAAGAGCTGGTTTGCCAGCCTGAACTATATTTAAAAAAACTTTGTAAAAATAAAAAAAAATTGTATATAGCTGTGAGTTTAAACCAAGAAAAACCACACGCACACACATACACAGAGGGAGAACAAAAGGAAAAAAAAAAAAAAACAAAGCTTTTATTGATGTTTTCAGTTTGAAAGAGCTTTTAGCAAGATTGTGATTTTTCATTGTGTTCTGAATGTATATAAATATAAATATATATATGTTATATATACATTGGTCATTCCACCTCCGTTTCTTCCCAAGCAAACTACAGCAACACCAACAAAAAACAAAGCTTTTGTTCTTAATTATTTGTGGTCAAGCAAACAAACAATTTGTTCAGTACCATTCATGAGAAGGTGTGGCATCTTGCAGAAGATTACTCGACTTTCTGGGTGACCTGTCTGTGTTCCCTCTGGAGTCACACAAATGCATGAAACAGAAATATCCTTATGGAGACTGTTGTTTTTATTTATTCTCTGTTTCTGTCTCTCTCTGTCTGTCTCTCTCTCTCTCTGTCTCTATCTCGTCTCTGTCTGTGTGTCTCTGTCTCTCTCTCTGTGTCTCTGTCTCTGTCTCTCTCTCTCTCTCTCTCTCTCTCTCTCTCTCTCTCTCTCCTCTCTCTCTCTCCAAACTTATTTTCTGGCTCGAGTGTAGCCTTCCTGAAATCACCATGCAGGGCTGAAATGTTCACGCACGCACGCGAATTCAAGGGATAGACACATACATGCAGCCTGCCAGGAAGGGTTGTGGGGGAAAAAAAAAACAAAAAAGAGAGAGAAAAACATAATATAGGTCTCATTCTGTCATTCTTGCCCTCTGAATAGATGTAGGAAGAGTTCCTTCCCATCCTAGAAGGTTGCCAAACAGGAAAGAAAGCCGGTCTTTGGAGGAATTGTGCCTGGAGGGATCAATACGTCTTTGTGTCACAGGCCAGCTGCAGGGTCTCTGCCGTGGGGCCGACTGCTCAGCCTCTTTAATCAGCCTGGACCGGTTATGCTTTCTGCTTATTGATTAGCAAGCAGCTCCCCCCCTGCACCCCACAATCTCCCTATCGTTGATGGGATAAAACATACGCTTGTCTTAATAATCCCTTTGGGCAGCATTGACCAATCAAGGAACGACCCATCAAAAAGGCAGAAAAAAGAAAACTAGGATCTGAATCCTTTGCTTGGGTTTCCCAGTGCATTTAGACAGTGGCATAGTCAAGGAAATCAGTAGAAATTACTGGCCCACTTTGAACAGGCAACCTGCAGATTTGAGCCCTGCAATGTTTCATGGTTTTGTATTATTATTTTTCCCCCTTTAAGGGATGTGTGGAGGGTTATAAGGTAGGCTGAATACAGTATTTCTGTCTTTCACATTTGACTGCTTTGCCAAGTAACAGTCACCAAAGACGATTGCAAAGGCTGGATTTTAGGTATTACAGGAATCTAGTTTTAGAAGCTAAGGTCCAGGTGGCATTTTGCATTAAAAAAAAAAAAAAAAATGGTCCAGCTGCTTCCATTTCCTTAAAATAAAAACGTTTGATGATTAAAATGTTTCCTACACTGAAACTGTAGTGATAGCTAAAAGTGTTTAATCTCTAGGGAGACAAAAAAAAATTTAAAAAAGAGTTCTTAAGAATACAGAAAATCCTTCAGTCAACCCTGTTGCATTCGTGGGTTTCAGTCAAGAGTTATTCTCTGTGTACATAAACACGTGGAACGTTTTGCGGGCAATTTAAGATCTGTGAAGATGTCACAAGCCTTCCTTTACAATGAGATGTCATAGATAAAAATGTGTCTCCTCTCATTTGTCATTTTTCCCTAACTATTTTGCAAGCCATTTCCTGCAAGCTAGCTCTCTGCCCAGCTGGTTTAATAGCAGACAGACAGACAGCCGGGATGGTTTTGAGTGTACGAGGGTTCGGATCGTTCGTAATGTGCATTAAGTATCTGTTTTGCTGCAGCTAGCAATATGTACAGTCATCCGTCTGTCAGCCTGGTGGCATTCGGGTAAGGACACGGTTTCTGTTCCGTGAATCACTTTTGCTTTTCCGGAGGATTATGATCAAAAGCAATTTACTACATCGTAAAGAATATCTTATTTCTACATGGAAAGAGGTTATAGAAACTTCATAGAGTTCTATGAGAAGAAAAAAAATATACTTGCTATCTATAAAAAAGAAAAAAAAGGAGAAAAAAATAAAAAAATACTTTCTTAGGCTTTTATTCTGGATCTTCAAAGGCACGCAGGGTTTAAATGGTTCGTTGGGTTATTATTTCGCGATTTTGGTTTTTTTTGATTTTTGCCTTAAGTATTGATAGAAGATATATATGGCTGGACACATATGTATAAACTTTTCAGCAGCATTTTTAATAATAAAATATCACGGTATTTTCTAATGCTTTGTGCAAATAATTGTGTGTCTATTCTTTCTTTGTAGGTGGTGTATTTTGCTCTCATTATTATATTTGTTTCTTTATGGCATGCCTTTATTGTCCTGAAAGTGGAACGGGGGCTTCTTCAAGTGGATAAAAATTAGTGTCTTGGTTTGGCCTGGTGCATATTTTTTTTTTCCTTATTTTTGAAGCAGTGCCACTGGCCTTCACTTGGCCAGTGGGGTCCTGCATGATAAAAAAAGTATTCCCAACACTGCTAATTCTGACAGCCTTGTTTGATATGCAAATGCCTTAAGACTGTCACACTGGGAGCATGCTGTGACTTGCCTTTCAAGTGACAGCGAGAATTCCCCCGACCCACTCTGCAGGACGGCAGCTGTGGGCACGACACGCAGATGCCCATCCTAGAGTCCCCTTCGCTGGCTGGTCTCCCACATCTCATGTGACAATCTTAGCAGCCCTGGTGTGCAGACCCCTGCCCAATTCGCCTTTGACAGTGAGGGAGGTGGGCAGCTGGAGGTCTGGGGCCAGAAGGGAGGGCGCAGAACGCGATGGTGCTGGAGAACCTGGGGCCTCTCAGAGACTGGGCTCCCTCCAGCAGTGTGTCTGGTCTCGCTCGGGAAGTCATGTTCTCAGAGGTTAAATCTCCAGTGGGGTCAGAGAAAGAACAGGACTGTCAAGGTCCTCTGCATGCGTGACCCCTTTACCATGTCAGTGATGGTGGTTTTGGTGAAATGTGTGTATCTGTGTGTGTGCATCTACCTATGTATCTACACACATACACACACAGGCAGTGTAGGTGCACATATCACACACATGTACCATACATATGCATTAAGTGTATGATATGTGTACACATACATTGATATACGCATATATAAATAAACATACGATAGGTATAGATTACAACATATTATCCACATATATAATAACATTAATATATATCATGTGTATGTGCGTGCATGTCATGCATATATGTATATATGGCACATACATGTGTATATACATGCATACATAAATATACATGCACATATACACTGAGTAAGCACACATATATGTAGATATGCTTATAGATAAAAGAATGTGTACAGATACACATATAAACACATGTACATACTTCACACATATGCAAATACATATGTACTGTAATTTTTTTATTTTCAAAAAAAGGGTAGAAATGATACAGAATTTTGTTTAAAAATGGGAAATTAGCAATAGTTAATATATTGCATATTGTTATCTTAGAAGTAGTGGTCCTGATTCGCAGACTGAGGCATAAAAAAACTAGTGAGCAATCAAACAATGAAAGCACATGCACACACAAAAACACACACACACACACACACACACGTGAATATGCACCTGTATGTGGACATTTATATATGTACAGATATAGCTGTGTTTTCTTGTGTCTGCACATGTGTTATACGTAAACATATATACACCTGTTTTGTACAAAAACATGCATCCACAGAAATTTATATCCTTGATGGTTACACTATTAATGTGTGCATACATGTATGTATACTTTACGTGTGCACATATATGCATGGCCATGTTCCTTAAAATCTCCAAGATAATCTTTTCATTGTGTATAAGCCCATGGATGAGCACATATCATATATGTGTATACATATAACATATGTGCATATATGTATATGCTGTGCATATATGTATATGCTGTGCTTATGTAATAAACATGTGTAGACATTGCTCTGCATATAATACACAAAGGCATATGTGCTATTCATACACATTCATAGGTATGTGTGTGCTTTATATTCTTGGTGACTGTATTTTGCATTAAATATGTACATACCTGCACATATAGGCACAAAAATCATATCTGCGCATATATACGCATGCTGACATAAATACACACAGAAACATGTAATAGAAATACCATCTTAAAGGATCCACCTCTAATATTTGAATAAGCATTAGCTTAAACAGCCTCCTTTTCAACATTTCAAGAATATAAACCCTTACGCACTCATTACTGCCTCCTGCAGAATTCAGAGTACCCACACTGTAGATCCTTGGCGAGCCTGCATGGGGCTTGGGGTCACTGCCAAAAAAAAAAAAAAAAAAAAACAACAAAACAGATAAAGGTCCTCTAATCCTCTCACCCACGGGGTAGGCAGGGAAGAAGCCCAGTAACAATGAGTGGTAGTGGGTGCTGGTCATAGTACCCTCCTTGCTAAGAAAGGAGTAATCCCAGGCCCTTACCTTGGTCTCTGAAGATAACGAACCATTTTTCCAAAGGCCTGGATTTCACCTGTAAGCCACGACTTTTGGAAATCGGTGGGCGAGAAAAAAGGACAAGATGGTTCTCCAAGACAGAACACTTTCTCTTCCAAGCCAGAGGACCTACTAAGTAGGTTGGGCAGTGTGCCTTGTTTATCATCGATGAAAAATATTGAAATCATTTGCAAGGGAAAAAGAAACGTCACATTAACCACCCCCAGCAGATCCAACACAAGAAAGGCCTACTTTGTCACAATGCAAACTGGGAAACTCCAAACAGCATCATAGAGTGCTGTGACCATCTTTGGGTATTCAAAACTACCTCCCAAGCAGGACCACTCTTAGACAGGCGGGGTGCGATTGGATCAACTACAAATTGCAGGAGGTGGCAGATATCGCATGCTTTGATGATTTTCCTACTATTTTGTGAGGTGCACACCTCAGAAACCAAGAACATGATTTTGAAATAGGATGAGAGGCGATTTTAAGGAAGTTAAGAAGCAGTTAGTGAAATCTCTGCAAAGTTAAAGTTAAATCTCTCCAGGTGCCCTGGAGTCCTTTCTAGGAGTAGTAGACACAGGAAATAGAGAGATACATCAGGGAGCAATAATTAAAAAACACTTCCACAGGGCGCGGTCGTGCGTGACTTTAATCCCAGCGCTCTGGGAGGCTGAGGCAGGAGGATCACAAAAAGGAAGGAAGGAAGAAATGAAAGAAAAGAAAGAAAAACCTTAGACCCTGTTTTAAGCACATATTCCAGAACTTGTAAGCACAGTGCTGAAGGATCCCTTGGGCCCCCACAGGTGCTGCTACTGTTCATCCAGGAAGTTAGATGTAGAAGTGGAGAGTGCAGTTGTCTTTAATCCACAGATGCTGGTAAGTAAAATGCACCTCAGGGAAACCAGGGCATCTTTCCTGAGGGTCTCCACCCACGGAGCCTGCAGGCTGCCTCCAGGATCCCAGAACCATGCGTGCATGAACTAACATACCTTTGCGCTGCGTCAGGAAGAACCAAGTCAGTTTAACAACAGGACTGCTTTGTCTTTTCTCCTTTCCAGAACGTCTTTGAAATGCTCATTTCATCTGCCTTTTTTCCCGCTTAGAAAAAAAAAAAAAAAAAGAAATCTAGGTGTTGGAAGGAGGTAAAATTGCAAATGTCTGTTCAGAGAGTGCCATCATCCTAGGTAAAGAAGGACACGGGTAGGGGAGAGAGGTGTTGGAGAGAGAGAAGGGGAAGGAAAGGGAAGGAGAAGAGGGGGGTTGTGCATGCATCAGTCCCCATCCACTGTGCACGTAAAATAATAATAATTAAGAGACAAAGAGGTGGCCTCCGAGGGAAAGGCCATCACCAGTCTGCCTTGCCACAATGTAACCCTCAGGCACAACTCCAGAAAAACCACAAACAGTTGCACGTTCCCTAGATGGCACAGGGTTAGGAACCTGGGGAAAGATTACAGGTTGTTCCCTGTCTGGCCAAAGAACAGAAAATCTTAGAAAAGACAGGTGTCCTTTCTTACGAGACAGCCTTCAAGAATCCTTCTTGGAGTCTTTGTTTTTTTAAAAAGACGAGGCAAAGTTTTGGGGACAGAGCTGGGATCAATCACAGAGCCACGGATGGCGAGAAAATGTCACTTATGTCTTCCTCCAAATCTTAGACCATAGGGGCTTGGACTGCAGTCTAGCGTTTCACAGAACTAGGAAACAGTGACAGAGATTTCTGCTACCCTGGATAGGAGGCTAAAATATTGCCCATTCAAAGCTACAATGCTGGGCTGTACTTAACTGCAAATATTAAGAGTCGTTACACATGCATAGTAAAATCAGCCAAATCGACTGCTTTGTATCATGTGTTAGTATTACTTCCAAAAAGCACTATTATTTCCTCTGGCAATATGCATGATGTGAGCCCATAATGTGGACACTGGATTTGCTTCTTATTTCAAGACTTTCAAAAATAACTTGTTGCAAGTCACACAAATGCACTAGTTTGTGACTAAGATACAATCTACAAAAATACATGCGTGGGAGGTTTTGTCACTGCGAAAACATCAGAGGTTTGGCTTATTTGCACAGACCTGAAGGGTCTAGCCCAGGACACATGTAGGATGTATGGTATTTTGTGTTAAAGCTACACAGCCTGGGATGCAAACTATAGACAGCTGTCACCCAGTGGTATTTCTGTATCTGGACGTCTCCAGACACATGATAATTACTATGAAAATATTAGGCAACAGTATTTCAGCTTTGTTACAGTCTTATGAGATCACTATTTTGTATGTGTCTTGAAATATCATGAAGCAATTCATGACTGTATAAAAATAGCAAAACCCAGGGATTTTACACTAAATTACAACTCCAAGTGAGTTAGGACCTTGCTAATCACACCCAGCTGAGCAGGCTGCACACCAATTTGCAATCCTCCTGCCTCAGCCTCCCAGAGTGATAGGATTAAAGGTGTGCGCACCTTCCCTGGTTTATGGACACCCTTTTAAAACAAGTACCCAGTGCTTCTGTTTAAACACAGTGACCTGACCATTTATAAAACATAAAATCATTTTAACGTTTAAAATGTCCTGATCCAAATGTGTTGCAGAAAAGTCTTTAAAACAAATTTTACTCGGGTTTTAAAACTATTGAATCCATCATGTAAAGAGTAAGATCTTGCTGGGTGTGGTTAATCACGCCCATCATCCCAGCACTCGGGAGGCTCAGGCAGGAGGATGGTTGTGAATTCGAGACCACCCTGCACTACAAAG